ATTGGTATAAATGTTATTGGAAGATGTATGGGATTCAATACGCAGCGCGCGCGAAGCGCGCGCCTGTTATGTATTAGTATATTTAAATTGTAGTTTTAAGGAAATTTAAGATTTTTCTTTTTTTTATACAATCAGGTGAGGAAGATAATGCGATGCATAATGAGGAGGAATTGTTAGCGATATTGCATGAAACCGGGCTACGCACAACGGTTATTGTCAAATTCAAAGGAGATGTCGATATTATGTTAAGTCCTATGGTTCTTGAGTCACTTCAACGATTTATTGACAGTATTATACCAACCTTGGCTAGTCTACATCCATTGACAATCTTAAATCATCTTCACAACGAATGTATAAGCAAAGTAGAGGATGCAAATATTTTAAAGCAGGATCAAAGTTTATCATATTGGAGTCAAGTTCAAACTAGTTCAAAACGATCTACAGCGGAAAGGAATCTTAAAAATGGTCAAGGTGATGACAAATGTTAGTTTTTACGATATACGTTTCGGTATGAATTAAATTGTTTGTATTTATAATTTATTTTATTTCAACAGGCAAAATAGCGCTACAGACAAATGTCTATGAAGAAAGTATCACGACGCAAGTACAAGGCAGTATTATTTTACCAAAGGTAAACAGCAATCATTTTCTGTAACAAATGATGTAATTATAATTTTCTCATTTGCATATTCTTCAATTATATGTAAATTTTTTTTCTAGTTGAATCTAACGTTGTTACAAGCATCTGTCGTCGAAGAAATTATCTCGTTCTCTGCGTTAGAAAATATTCGGGACTTGACGTGTGTATCGCTATTCGCGATTTGTCTCGACGATGTTACTGCGAGGTTCTATCTAGGAAAACAAGCTCGAGAAGTTGTTCAGACTTTTCATAAACCAGCTGCATTACCGAATCAGAAGAAGGTAAACAAAATCAGCAAAGCATTTTTATCGGGACACCAAACTACTGCAGTAGTGGCTGACGTGGGAGGAGAAACGGTATACATAGAAACATCGGAGAAGCAGCAAGAAGAAATTATAGTCACTTTAAATATCGGTATAAACACAAATAAATGTGTATACTCTCACATACGTGTTCTATATATGCAATATAAAATTTTGATATTTAATAGGCAAAGCACACTCTCAATTAAGAAGACTAAGAAACGAGTCTTCCATATTGAAGGATGCAGTGATAACTGCCATACCTGCACATTATTCGAAAGTATTATTTACCTGCACAAGAATGACATCGCCATTAAAGTGTATTGATTATTATTTGCATTATCTGATGGACGAAAAGGAAAAATTAAATGTATGTATAGATTTTTCTTTCAATATTATTTCAACAGTAACAGTACATATAATTTTCATACATTTTAGAAACAGACTGGACCACCACAAGCCACTGAAGAATTTACCATGGGATGTGGAGAAGATAGATTAGGATTTATTATGTTTGAATGTGGTTTCGAAGGAATTAAATTGAAAGTAGTAAAGAGGTCTCAGTTTGAAAAAGGAGAAAATGGTGATGGTGACAAAAAGAATGAGGCTGAAGTATTTTGTACAGACAGTGTTAAAAGCCAAGACGAATTGGATAATAATATCGCTGGTAAAAAAAGCACTATGATTCAAGTGACATTTATTACATTAATATTGTGATTATTTAAAGTGTTTTTTTACTTTTAGCGTCCACAGCAACTACTGCAGAGACAGAAATAAAGCCGACAAATGCATCTGCTGGCACTCAAATGAATATGAGCGCGACGTGCACCAGTCTTACGTCCAAAGTGGCAAACGGAAATACTGTATCATGCGTTATTGAATTAAAAACGGTGTGGTTTAATTTTGCTGCACCTCCACGTACCCCAATAACGAGAAAGATTGATTACACAAGACTAGATTGGAATTTGCTGAGCACCGCATCACCAGCGATAAATGCGTGGATGAATCCCAGTAACAAATTCGCAATTCGTATTGTTCATATGTTTAGAACAATGTATCGAAGATCTACCGCAATTGTTGCCTGTCTTATGGCAGAAGCATTAGATGTACAAGGAATACACATGCCTTTAAAGGTATGTGATATATTTTGATGCAACAAAATGCAATAAAAAAAAGTATTTTCTCTTGTTATTAATATTAATATTGATTTTTTACAAATAGAGTCGCTATGGAAGATTAACACCTTTAGCGAAAACATTGCAAGAAGATCCTTCTTGTCAATTATGTAGTATATTGCAAAATTATGTTTTATTATCTGAAATCATAAATATTGAAGCCAATTTAAAAGAATCTGATCTACCACTTCTTTCTACACTTCGGCAGGTAATAATCGTTGAGACAATTGAGATTTGATATATTTCCTTATCAAATAAAACTTTTATAAAATTTGTATTTTTTTTTTTTTTTTTTGGTATTATTTAATTTAATATTTTCCTATATATACATTATAGGGCGTTATTGTGTTAAGCAGACAATGGAAGAATGTACTGTATACGCCGTTATTATTGGAGCACAATTACAAAACTAAACATGTTAAACCATTAAACGTTACATTTGCCGTGTCAGATCCTGATGAGGTAAGATATTTTTACATGTAAATCTACAGTCATTATAACTTAAGCCTCCGATATTGACGTCTCGTTTTTTTTTGACAAAATATATAGAGAAATGTTGACAAAAAATATATATACAAGTATTAAAAAATTAAGATTTAATAATCCGATTTAATAACTTGTATAATTTTTATATATTTTGTATCCTGTCATAATATCTGAAATAGCCAAAGGTTAACAATAGAAAGAGCATAATTTGCTAGGAACTTCTTCTTTCAGCAAGTAAATAAGACAGAAATGGAGGAAGAAATCGATGTGAAAAGGAGTAAGAATCCTTCAGTAAAGAATATTTTTCTAGAATTTGTGCATTATGCAAAATATAACACAAAAGTACTTTTATTTCTTTCTTAAAAATAAAATTTTGGGCTAAACGCTTTAAAATTCCTCTTGCAAAATTGTTGTTAAATAATGACTAAGAAATGTGTTACATATATATGCTTTTAACAAATTGTAATATATGTCCAATGCAATTTTGTTCTATTTTTTGATATATGTATATCATTATAGGTGCAGGTGCAGAAATGCTTGCAAAATATATATGTGGTTATCTAATAAATAGTTGCATATATATGGAATAGCTTGAAAACATTCTTATAAAATATAATATTTCTACATATTGCGAACTCTTTAATCACATTGTGCTATTTTATAAAATCAGCTTTAAAACGCTTTCAAGACAATTTAAAACGTTATAATACTATAAAAAATTTTGTAAAAATTGATATAATAACTATACATATGTTTATAAATATAAATTTTGTATATAATTATTTTGTCGTGACAGGCTAATTTGGCTTGTTGGATACTAAAAAATTATTTTGAGCCTTGGTTTGCTGATATAGGAGAATCTGTTGACTGATGGGGAGGGTAGCGCAGGAGATGTTGATGATCAAGAAGTGACAGATGAATGTGCTATGCTCATCCATACGGACCACATGCATAAACACACACATATCAAAAGCGGACAAGATAAAACATCAGGTATTACAAATCGCACAGTAAACGTAACATTATTTTTTGCTGATAATGAGAGTATTTGATAAAGCAACAGTTTTTAAAAATTAAATTGACACAGTAATGTGTAATAATTACAACGACCTCAATTATTTGTACATGTACAAATTATTTATTATGATATAGTTTTTAAACTATAACATAAAAAAAACAGTATATTTTTTTGAAAAATGGGATACATTCAATCGTAGAATAAATATTTATCATTACGATCCCATCAGAACTCATTTTGCTTTCAATGCTTCTACTAATCCCGTGTATATAAATGCTTATATATGTTCGCCTAACCGCCTCTTCTCTCATTGCTCTGAAAACTCTATTCTTTAGTAACCGATTAGTTATTGTTAGTCCCGTAATTAACGAATTACACATAATGTAACCTTATACAAACGCCTTGGCTTCATGTGGAATTTGGACTAGGTATGTGTGGTGATGGTTTGACGGTTCCTGTAAGCTCTCCTCGCGGGAAAGATACGACCCCTATAGCAACACCGGTTCCAGGCCCGGATTCATTTTCCTCTCCCTCTCCACCCGTAGCTCTTTCAAAAAGAGGAAAGACATTACAACCAACGCAAGTGCCTGCTAGTACACGTGCAAGTATCGTTTTTCCCTTACTCACCAGCGGTGGGTTATTCAGTCAAACACGAGAACCAAATAACATAAGTAAGTGGACAGTGAATGAACTGTTTAATTTTCTTAGTAGCTATAGTAATTAGCAACTTATTTTCATCTTTGAGCAAAGCAGTTGGAACAAAAATAACAATTAAACTGTCCTGCATGATTTCATCTCTTGCATAAAATTATCATCGTGCAATTTTGTACGTACTTTTATTATACCTTTCTCTCTTGTTAATCTGGAGAGTTATTCTAATAAGATGTACATTCTCCAAGAACATTTATTATTGCTGCATTTTTATTTATCAGTCTGTTTAATTAATTAATCGTAATTATTATTATCATTAATAATTGTGTCTCTATATAGAGTTGTATTTATGAATTTATGAATTATTTTTATACCAGGTTACGGAACGTTGAAAGAAGAAAAGACTCCACAAATTCATATCTCACATTCGCATCAACTTGGTTCCAATCCTAGTATCTATTCTGGCGGCATAGGTCACGGTAGTCAACACAGCACTGGAAGTTTAGACCAAGTTACATCTCCTACAAGTCATTCTACTAAGCCTATAAATACAGGGGAGGATTTGTATAGCTGGATGGCAAAACAGCAAGAATTTATTAAGGATAACGACAAAGGAAATTTAAAAGGAAATTGGGTAAGTCTAGTCATGGTCCTATTGCCAAATATATAATTTTCCAATATTAAAATGTAAGAAATGTATTCGTGAGAAATTTTGACGATTTATAGAAAAAAATTGCTTACATAGGTCTTTCGCACAGAGCAAAAGTCTACAAAGGTACATTAAAAAGGCACAATTTTTGTCATTTTGTAACACAGATATGTCGTTCCAATGTAAAGTACTAGGCTAAAAATAATTTTTTTTTTTTAGGATTCAAAAATTAACACCATGACTACCGACGACACTGAAGATTCCGATATACAGAGTGGTGCTTTCCTGTATCCAATGAAAGACTCTCTAAGATTATTGGATGCTCATTTGATTTTTGAACCGCTTTTGTCGTCCTTATCGGTTATGCCACAACAGATGTTATCAGTTATTGGATCAGGAAACGTAAACAATCTGTCCTCCTTAGATTCATTAGGCTCAAATTTATCTCTCGTAGGCAGTATGGATACTATGCGCATAGATATAGTCGTGAGCGAGTTTGGAAAAGTAACAGATAAGAAAAAAAGTAAGCTTGGAAATGATTAACACTAACTAATCTCTGTGAGTGTAGTGCATATTATTTATAATATATATTTTATTTTAATACTTGTAGATAACAAATGTCAGCCGAGAAAAGGAGCCAACTCGAAATTTTATCTTGATATACCGCCAGAGACACCAGCATTTTTATGCGAAAGAATTGGTGTAGACATCGATATTAAAAAAATGGCCGACATGACAGTAGATGACATGATTCAAAAGCAAAATGTTCTATATATATCTAGAGGTCAATTGAAGAAACATACCAGCACAGTGGTTAACATTAGTTTAAATATTCGTTATATAAGCCAGCAAGTAAACATGCCCCTTCTCAGATTATTACATCAAATAAGTACCATGTATCAGAATGTTAAAGAAACACAGATGGAGTTAAAGGAGCAACAGCCTGAAACAAAACGTAACACTAATTTAATCGTTAGTGACAACGTCGCGAAAAATGGTTCATCAAGTAAATATACCATATTTTGTTTATCGCAAATAATTATGCGTTCAATTTATTGTGTAACTAATATAATAATATTTTTCTAGCATCCGATCTGCAAGAACAGTTCCTCACTGACGGCAAAAAAGTCGAAGCACCATTGCTTCGCAGCAGTTTCGAACCGAATCAATCGAAAGCATTGCCAGGTGCAACTGTACGCTCTCGGCCGCAAAGTTTCGCGCAAAAATTACGAAGCACGGGCAAAAGTGTAAAGGGCTATATTAATTTAAGCGAAGGTGTTATTACACCAAGTTTCGGGGCAAGCCCTAGTGGATCTGGTTTAGATAAATTTACGGATACGTGTAAAGATAGCGCACACTTGACGCCACGATGCTGGAAAACTATATACTACCTTCTGGATTTGTACGCAACTCGTCCGGAAACTAAAACTATCACCCATCGATTTTCGATACCTGCAGAGGCAGCGGAACATTACAGAAGTGGAAGAAAGTATGAGATCTTGAATGAAACCAAGGATGTTGACATTGAAAAAGGATTGAATGCTGAGAATAGTTCAACGCCAATTCCTCCATCGAGAGAGTTAAGTAAGTATAAAATATTGTTCAATGTTTTTCAATCTTCATCTTTTTAACTGTAATAATCGAATCGCTATTTATAGACATTGTAACAGGCGAAAGAACGAGGCTGATTATTTTTGGCGTAGCACGAATCCATAGAACCAGATTATTGGCTACTTTAAGTGGTTTGAAGCTTGAAGCAGAAATTACTAGTCTACACGCTAGTCTAACTTGCCGCAAGAAATCGCGACCCGCAAGTTTAGAATGTAGTATGACTGGACAAATCGGAAGAACGATGATTGTACTGTTGGAAGGCGTTGCCCCTGGTCAACAAACAGTCGTGAAAGTTACCGTTGGAAAATCACAAGCTCTATATTCCAGCATTACGAGGCGGCAAAAGGATAAGAACAGCGGTTTGTTGACTGTCGGCGCTGTAAATATCGATATACCGCAGCATCCTGTAGCATTGCATGGAATGATGACCAGAGGCAGCAAGCAGTTGTCGTCAACGTTACAGGTAAATGCATTATTCTAAATACTACAATAACATTTTAATTCTTAAAGAAACGTTAAATTCTTAAACGTTAAAGACGTGTTACCTTGGTTTAGGAATTAAGAGTTACTAGAACGTCATCGAGAATGTCGCGAGGACAACAGCAAGACGATGTAGATGCTGTTCCGGGCAGTCCACATCATTACGCGCCAGCTCCGTCAATAGGCGTAGAAAAGCCGCAGGCTGTGTCTGGTCTTTTAGAGCCTATTGTTATGCAATTCCACATAATACTTCAAAGTTTAAGCATAACTGCGGCATTATTACCATCTCTCCAAGCCCAGTACAAAATGGACCAGGTGAATAGTTCCGGCATAACTGGTAGCAAGGCTAAGTTTACTATCGACTTGCCGCATCATAATCTGAGTTTTACGACGAAATTACAAGTGACAGAAGCAAACTTACCGTCTGAAGCAAGTATTGAATTACCTAAAGTACATGTTTCGGCCGAATACATTCAAGACGGAAGCAGTAACTTGAACGAAAGTAAACTAGCGGGTAAATAACATATGAATTGTATATTTTTATTTTTATCTTTCAATAATTGCGTTTTAAATAAAATAAAATTTTATGATTGTTTTGCAGATGGTGTTGTATTAAGACAAGGTAGCTACCTGAGTGCAACTGCAGATATCGGAGTGTTTGAGCATTCTTTAACGACGGATCTTTTAAATCATTTGGTATTTGTACAAAAGGTATTTATGAAAGAGGTGAATGAGGTAGTACAGAAGGTCTACGGAGGCGAAAAACCAGTACCTTTGTGGCTCGAAGATGACGAATCAACCAGCTCTACTTTGAAACGAATTTTATTTTCACTGATTATACGTATTAAGGTAAGGCATTTTTTTACAAAATTTTTTTTTATATTTATTCCGCTTTGTTGGGAATTTATAAATCAGCATCTGCGAACTCGTTATTAATTTTTGATCAATGATCAATGAAAAAATATTTGAATATTACAAAGGATACTTTATTTCTTTACAGAGGATTCAACTAACTGCAACAACTCCAACAAATTCGGCAGTGCGGTTAGAAACCGGCGCGGTAGAATTTCAATTATCTAACAGAGTGCAAAATGTTTCTGGAGCTACTCAACCTAATCCCTACATGAAATTATTTGGCAAAGCACAAGTTGATATTAACTTAAGTCTGGGACAATTATTAAAAAATGTATTGTTTGAAGAAGCAGAGCCCGAATTTCAACAATTTGCTTTCTTCAATACTAGAATAGGACTACGAAATGCATTTCAAGAGGAAATGGCTCAGGGAGAAGACAAAGAAGTAGTTTTAATTACTCTCAAACGTCCACTAATTTATATACAACCGATAGCTATTGATAAAGCTATACTCGTTTGGTTAAATTACAAAAATGCATATGAATACTGGAATGAAAAGCGATCTAATTTGAATAAAGAGGTGTTAACTGCTACTCAGCAAGTATTTGAAAAAGTTCCATTCGGGCAACTGACAAGTCAGCTCAGTGCGCCTCATCTTGGAACATTATTTTTGCAATTAACAGTCGATGACATGGGCATATGTTTGCCGCTTAATCCTTTACCGCCAAATAATTGGAAATTAAACAGAGGCCTCTACGATGGAGAATCCCGAGGTGCTGTTGTGGTGACACTTGAAAATACAAGCATATCCGCATGTAGTAGCGGTAGTTTAGTTAGTAAAGGAAGGTATGTATACATATGTATAATTTTTTTATTTATAAACTCTTGATATTTACATGTTCCAATTTATATTCCAAATTGTATTTTTCTCATTAGGTTTGTAGGATTGTGCTTGAGATTTGCCGAAGACTTTGAAACTTCTTTGGACGATTGGAAACCAGATATGACTGATAGCAGTATAATGAATTTATGTGTCGTATCAGAAGGCACATACGAAGTGTGTAGTAGGACTATTGCTCAAAAACAAGATAAATCTGGTACGATCAGCATTCAATAAAAATAATATTTTTAAAATAATTTAGAAGCGTATATAAATAGTCATATAGTTTCTCTTTCATATAGAATTTTTATAAAATAAATAATTTTTTCTAGATAACGCTAAATGGATCTTAAACGTTCAATGGCAAATGGAGGGAGTTGATATTCATCTTGATGTCAATGTGGGACAACAACTATCGGCTCTTGGACATACATTGACAATGCTAACTGGTTCTGAAGAAGAGGATGATATCCACGTTCCCGCAGATTATGATAGCGACGATGGTGATCAACCAGAAAATAGCACTAGCCAGGTTAAGAAAAAAGTATGGTTTAATTAATTTAATTTTTTTTTTTGCTATTTATACATGCAGCTTTTGCATTATGTTTAAGTAAGTAATGTATAATAAAAGACACCTTTTATATACAATATGCATATAAAACTATATATAAAGTCTTAATTATTAAATCTTAGTAGTAAACCAAACAGTAATTAATATGTTCGAGATCGTTTATAATATCATTTTTATTATTCTCATGAATTAGTGTAGCGATATTTTTATTAAAATTGTATACATTTATAGGAAAGCATATTAATGAAAAAATCGAAAAATTGGACGGACAGTCTCCCGGCATTTATCTTCGATCCCACACTCGATGCAAAGAAGAGGTCACAATTAATAGAAAAAGAGATGAACGAGCAAGCGAAAATTATAAACGATTTGCGATCATTGGGCGCTTCGCATGGGACAATAGAACAGGAAATGAAACGTCTACATGAATTGGAAGCGATGGTATTCAAAGACTTTAGAAGGTATGTATTATTCTTGAATAAACTTGACTTCTTTTTTTTGCAATTGCACATTTTGATATATTAGTATATAACAGGCGCGCGCTTCGCGCGCGCTGCGTATTGAATCCCAATACATCTTCCAATAACATTTATACCAATTTACATTTTAATTAAACAAATTTTAACAATTTTGGATAAAAAATAAATTTTCAAAAAAAATAACGCTTTGCACGCGGTGCGTATTAAACTCCATACATCTTCCAGTAACATTTATACCAAATTACATTTTAATTAAACAAATTTTAACAATTTTCAATAAAATGACAGATCGGAAGAGCACACG